CTCTGAGGCTTAACGCTGACAGTATGCTGGTCTGTCTGCCGGGGTGAGGAGAACCCTCGCTCCAGGTTATTAATGAACACCGGTCTGCCGGGGTGAGGAGAACCCTCGCTCCAGGTTATTAATGAACACCGTTCTGCCGGGGTGAGGAGAACCCTCGCTCCAGGTTATTAACGAACACCGGTCTGCCGGGGTGAGGAGAACCCTCCCTCCAGGTTATTAACAAACACTGGACTTCATAAATTCAGGGAAGGACCTAGTGACCCATGTTGCATTAGTATTTCTGTATGAACAAGTAGTAAATGAACTAGAGACAGATATTTGGCGCCATGTAAATCTTGCTGTCTGTTGCATGAGAGCACAATGTACCTTTGTATAATTTCACACAATTGTTCTTTGACACGAGGACTCAGAAAGAGCTGTAACCTAACCCTGGTTATTTGGGCCTTAAGGTGACCGTTAACGCTCCATTACTGCAGTAATTATTAATACGTTTGATGGTCTCTCCTTTGAAAGTCTCTCCTTTGATTAGAATAATTACCAAGACAAGACAAAAATAATGGTGTTCCAAAAAAGGTCCAGTTGCCAGGACCACAAATACAAATTCCATCTAGACACCGTTGTCTTAGAGCACACAAAAAAATATACATAGCTCGGCCTAAACATCAGTGCCACAGGTAACTTCCACAAATATGTGAACGATCTGAGAGACAAGGCAAGAAGGGCCTTCTATGCCATCAAAAGGAACATAACATTTGACATACCATCTGGCTAAAAATACTTGAATCAGTTATAGAAACCATTGGCCTTGATGGTTGTGAGGTCTGGGGTCCGCTCACCAACCAAGAATTTACAAAATTCTGCATGCAGAATTCTGCAAAAATATCCTCTGTGTACAACTTAAAACAACAAATAATGAATGCAAAGCAGAATTAGGCCAATACCCGCTAATTATCAAAATCCAGAAAAGAGCCGTTCAATTCTACAACCACCTAAAAGGAAGCGATTCCCAAACCTTCCATAACAAAGCCATCACCTACAGAGAGATGAACCTGGAGAAGAGTCCCCTAAGCAAGCTGGTCCTGGGGCTCTGTTCACAAACACAAACAGACCCCACAGAGCCCCAGAACAGCAACACAATTAGACCCAACCAAATGATGAGAAAACTAAAATATAATTACTTCCAATGTGTCAAGTAATTAACAAAAAAACAGAGCAAACTAGAATGCTATTTGGCCCTAAACAGAGAGTACACAGTGGCAGACTACCTGACCACTGTGACTGACCCAAAATTAAGGAAAGCTTTGACTATGTATAGACTCAGTGAGCATAGCCTTGCTATTGAGAAAGGCCGCCGTAGGCAGACATGGCTCTCAAGAGAAGACAGGCTTATGTGCACACTGGTGGAAACTGAGCTGCACTAACCTCCTGCCAAATGTATGACCATATTAGAGACACATATTTCCCTCAGATTACGCGATCCACAAATAATTTGAAAAAAATCCAATTTTGATAAACTCCCATATCTATTGAGTGAAATACCACAGTGTGCCATCACAGCAGCAAGGTGTGACCTGTTGCCACAAGAAAAGGGCAACCACTGAAGAACAAACACCATTGGAAATACAACCCATATTTATGTTTATTTATTAACTTTTTTACTTTAACTATTTGCACATTGTTACAACACTGTATATAGATAGACATATGACATTTGAAATGTCTATTCTTTTGGAACTTCTGAGTGTAATGTTTACTGTTAATATTTATTTCACTTTTGTTTATTATCTACTTCACTTGCTTTGGCAATATTAACATATGTTTCCCATGCTAATAAAGCCCCTTGAAAAGAGAGAGAGAGAGAGGAGCTAGAGAGACGAGAGAGAGAAAAGTAGAGAAGAGAGAGAGAGAGAGATAGAGAGAGAGAGAGAGAGAGAGGAGAGCGAGAGATAAGAGAGAGAGAGAAGATAGAGAGACTAGAGCGATAGAAGGACTATATAGCTAGAACGTCGATAATGTTCTCTGAGACTCTTGAGATCCGAGAATAAAGTAAGAATCGCGAGAGCTTATCATAGTGCCTAAGCTCGTAGATATAGCGAGATATATAGATCGAGAGATAGGATAGAACGAGAGAGAGAGAAAGAGAAACAGAGCGAAGAGAGACAAGAGACACATAGACGATAGAGCGATGAGAGAGAGAAGAGAGAGAGAGAGAGACACAGAGAGCGAGAGAGCGAGAGAGCGAGAGAGAGAGATATGACGGAAATATGTTGCAGTGACAGAACATTAACCTCTGCAGATGATCAGGCTAACTGACTAAATCAGTTAAAGACAAGCAAGAGAGAGGAACAAAAACCAGTTTCCAGCTAAACCTCTCGTTGAGTATGAGGAGAGAACGCTGTCACTGTCTGAAGCTAAAGCCGTCACGCTGCAGAGTGATGAGGCTTTGTGCTGGTGGAGTCGCCAGCGGCCCCTGTTACAGCTTAGATCCATATGATCTCCTCTGTGTGTGTGTTCTGCCATTCATCTTACAATAATCCTACATTGCGGTCACATTCTAAGGGGATAGTATTAACTAATTCTCTTGGCAGCAGTTATGGATGTTGTAGTTTGGTTTCAGATTAAGAACACCCGTAGGACCTCTATACCAGGCGGTGTCAGAGGAAGGCCCTGAAAATGGTCAAAGACTCCAGCCACCCTAGTCATAGACTGTTCTCTCTGCTACCACACGGCAAGCGGTACAGATGAACCAAGTCTAGAACCAACAGGACCCTGAACAGCTTCCAAGCCATTAGACTGCTAAATAGTTAGTCTGGGTACCTATTGGTTAACTATTTAACTATCTGCATTTACCTTTTTGCACTATCACATACACTGCTTCTACTGTTGTCTATCCTGTTACCTAGTTACTTTAGCCCTACCTACAGTGCATTCGGAAAGTATTCAGACCCCTTCCCTATGAGACTCGAAATTGAGCTCAGGTGCATCCTGTTTCCATTGATCATCCTTGAGATGTTTCTATAACTTGATTGGAGTCCACCTGTGGTCAATTCAATTGATTGGACACGATTTGGAAAGGCACACACCTGTCTATATAAGGTCCCACAGTTGACAGTGCATGTCAGAGCAAAAACCAAGCGTTGAAGGTCTCCAAGAATACAGTGGCCTCCATCATTCTTAAATGGAAGAAGTTTGGAACCACCAAGACTCTTCCTATAGCTGGCCGCCCGGCCAAACTGAGCAATCGGGGGAGAAGGGCCTTGGTCAGGGAGGTGAACAAGAACCCAATGGTCACTCTGACAGAGCTCCAGAGTTCCTCTGTGGTGATTTTACATTTTAGTCATTTAGCAGACGCTCTTATCCAGAGCGACTTACAGTTAAGTGAGTGCATACATTTTCATACTGGCCCCCAGTGGGAAACGAACCCACAACCCTGGCGTTTACAGGGAGAATCTTCCAGAAGGACAACCATCTCTGCAGCACTCCACTCCAGGCCGTTATGGTAGAGTGGACAGACAGAAGCCACTCCTCAGTAAAAGGCACATGACAGCCCACTTGGAGTTTGCCAAAAGGCACCTAATGAACTCCCAAGACCATGAGAAACAAGATTCCCTGGTCTGATGAAACCAAGGTCGATCTCTTTGGCCTGAATGCCAAGTGTCACGTCTGGAGGAAACCTGGCACCATCCCTACGGTGAAGCATGGTGGTGGCAGCATCATGCTGTGGGGATGTTTTTCAGCGGCATGGAGACTAGTCAGGATCGAGGGAAAGATGAACGGATCAAAGTACAGAGAGATCGTTGATGAAAACCTGCTCCAGAGCGCTCAGGACCTCACTTCTGCCAAGCTTGTAGCGTCATACCCAAGAAGACTCGAGGCTGTAATCGCTGCCAAAAGTGCTTCAACAAAGTGTTGAGTAAAGGGTCTGAATACTGATGGGAATGTGATAGTTTTAGCTTTGTCGTTATGGGGTATTATGGGGCGGCAGGTAGCTTAGTGGTTAAGAGCGTAGTGCCAGTAACCGAAAGGTCGCTGGTTCTAATCCCCGAGCCGACTAGGTGAAAAATCTGTTGATGTGCCCTTGAGCAAGGCACTTAACCCTAATTGCTCCTGTAAGTCGCTCTGGATAAGAGCGTCTGCTAAACGACTAAAATGTAATGTAAATGTATTGTGTGTAGATTGATGAGGAAAAAAACTATTTCATAAATTTTAGAATAAGGCTGTAACGTAACAAAATGTGGAAAAAGTCAAGAGGTCTGAATACTTTCCGAATGCACTGTCTATGTACATATGTACCTCGATTATCTCGTATCCCTGCAGATCGACGGCTAAATGCCCGGGGGTACCCCACCACGTACACAGCCAAGTTATCCTCATTGTGTATTTATTCCTAGTGTTATATAATTGTTTCTATATTTTTAACTCTGCATTGTTGGGAAGGGACCGTTAGACCCGTCAGGTAAGTCTTTCACTGTTAGTCTACACTTGTTGTTAACTAATAAGCACGTGACAAATAAAATGTGATTTGAGTTGGATGGAGAAAACAAAAAAATGAGGAAGTCCCCTTTTCTCGTTCCTGTAACGGGACTGACAACCTATCCCTTTGCTGGTCGGGATGAGTAGTTAGTTTAGCTCAGAGCGTGGTGTGTGTGTGTGTGTGTGTGTGTGTGTGTGTGTGTGTGTGTGTGTGTGTGTGTGTGTTCAGGCAGCCTAATTCGGATAATAATAATAAATAATAATTGGTCATTTAGCAGACGCTCTTATCCAGAGCGACTTACAATAGCAATTAGGGTTAAGTGCCTTGCTCAAGGGCACATCGACAGATTTTTCACCTAGTCGGCTCGGGGATTAGAACCAGCGACCTTTCGGTTACTGGCCCAACGCTCTTACCCACTAAGCTACCTGCCGCCCGGATCTTTTTCCACTAATTTGTCTTGACCAATCAGATCAGCTCTTTTGCTGATATTTGGGCAGAAGATCAGAATTGGGCTGCCTGTGTAAACTCAGCCATATTGAGTTAGAGAGTGACAGAGGAGCTGGGCTGAATGGCTGAGCAGCAGAGGGCTGAGAGCGGAGGGCTGAGAGCTGAGGGCTGAGAGCGGAGGGCTGAGAGCGGAGGGCTGAGAGCGGAGGGCTGAGAGCGGAGGGCTGAGAGCGGAGGGCTGAGAGCGGAGGGCTGAGAGCGGAGGGCTGAGAGCGGAGGGCTGAGAGCAGAGGGCTGAGAGCAGAGGGCTGAGAGCAGAGGGCTGAGAGCAGAGGGCTGAGAGCGGAGGGCTGAGAGCGGAGGGCTGAGAGCGGAGGGCTGAGAGCGGAGGGCTGAGCAGCAGAGGGCTGAGAGCAGAGGGCTGAGAGCGGAGGGCTGAGAGCAGAGGGCTGAGAGCAGAGGGCTGAGAGCAGAGGGCTGAGAGCAGAGGGCTGAGAGCGGAGGGCTGAGAGCGGAGGGCTGAGAGCGGAGGGCTGAGCAGCAGAGGGCTGAGAGCGGAGGGCTGAGAGCAGAGGGCTGAGAGCAGAGGGCTGAGAGCGGAGGGCTGAGAGCGGAGGGCTGAGAGCGGAGGGCTGAGAGCGGAGGGCTGAGAGCGGAGGGCTGAGAGCGGAGGGCTGAGAGCGGAGGGCTGAGAGCAGAGGGCTGAGAGCAGAGGGCTGAGAGCGGAGGGCTGAGAGCAGAGGGCTGAGAGCGGAGGGCTGAGAGCGGAGGGCTGAGAGCGGAGGGCTGAGAGCAGAGGGCTGAGAGCAGAGGGCTGAGAGCAGAGGGCTGAGAGCAGAGGGCTGAGAGCGGAGGGCTGAGAGCGGAGGGCTGAGAGCGGAGGGCTGAGAGCGGAGGGCTGAGAGCAGAGGGCTGAGAGCAGAGGGCTGAGAGCAGAGGGCTGAGAGCAGAGGGCTGAGAGCGGAGGGCTGAGAGCGGAGGGCTGAGAGCAGAGGGCTGAGAGCAGAGGGCTGAGAGCAGAGGGCTGAGAGCAGAGGGCTGAGAGCAGAGAGCAGAGGGCGGAGGGCTGAGAGCAGAGGGCTGAGAGCAGAGTGGAGGAGGAGAGTTAGAGACTGAATAGGGCTCTGGTCAAAAGTAGTGCACTATTTGGAATAGGAAGAGTGAACAGTAAAAGTGTGACTGAAGAGGACTCACCCTGGGCATGGTCTCTTTGGTGAACGTGAGCGTGATGTTGGCACAGCTGTTGTCGTGGTAACCAGAGCTGGGGTGGCATTTGGTGGTTGGTTGTGGTGGGGATGAGGGGTAGCACTCCCCAAGATTCTGACACGGCCGGACAAAACACTGCTCCTCCCTGATTGGTACACAGCTCTGACCAGACAGACACCCGGCCCCGCCCCCTCCGCTGCCTCGACCTTTGACCCCACCGCTGACCCGGCACGACTTAGGACCACACCACATCTGGAACACAACGAGACAAAATACCCAAATCAAGATCCAGACAATAACACTTTGAAACCTACCTGGGTTGAAGTAGAATTTATTTGATTTTAAATCGTTTTCAGCGTCAGATAGGCAGGTTGCACTTGTGACAATTTCATTGGTTATTTGAGAGAAAACCCAAGTCTGCCACAAACATCTATGGAAAGTAAGAACTTCAGTTAGCCCGTACCCTGGTACACACCACCTTCCCATTAAAACACTGGCAGGTGTTACAGTCCTCCTCCCACTTCGCTCCTTCAGGGGTCAGGCGACCGCTCACTGAGCACGGTCTCTGTGTCACTGTAACACCAAGAAATAAAACAAGTCAGAACAATGAAGGCTCTCCTGACTGACCGTGTGGTACCCTGCCTCCTGACTGACCGTGTGGTACCCTGCCTCCTGACTGACCGTGTGGTACCCTGCCTCCTGACTGACCGTGTGGTACCCTGCCTCCTGACTGACCGTGTGGTACCCTGCCTCCTGACTGACGTGTGGTACCCTGCCTCCTGACTGACCGTGTGGTACCCTGCCTCCTGACTGACCGTGTGGTACCCTGCCTCCTGACTGACCGTGTGGTACCCTGCCTCCTGACTGACCGTGTGGTACCCTGCCTCCTGACTGACCGTGTGGTACCCTGCCTCCTGACTGACCGTGTGGTACCCTGCCTCCGGATGACCGTGTGGTACCCTGCTCCTGACTGACCGTGTGGTTACCCTGCCTCCTGACTGACCGTGTGGTACCCTGCCTCCTGACTGACCGTGTGGTACCCTGCCTCCTGACTGACCGTGTGGTACCCTGCCTCCTGACTGACCGTGTGGTACCCTGCTCCTGACTGACCGTTGTGGTACCCTGCCTCCTGAATGACCGTGTGGTACCCTGCCTCCTGACTGGACGTGTGGTTACCCTGCCTCCTGATGACCGTGTGGTACCCTGCCTCCTGACTGACCGTGTGGTACCCTGCCTCCTGACTGACCGTGTGGTACCCTGCCTCCTGATGACCGTGTGGTACCCCTGCCTCCTGACTGACCGTGTGGTACCCGCCTCCTGACTGACCGTGTGGTTACCCTGCCTCTGACTGACCGTGTGGTACCCTGCCTCCTGACTGACCGTGTGGTACCCTGCCTCCTGACTGACCGTGTGGTACCCTGCCTCCTGACTGATCGTGTGTGTTAACCTACAGTGCATTCAGAAAGTATTCAGACCTCTTGACTTTTTCCACATTTTGTTACGTTACAGCCTTATTCTGAAATGGATTAAATTGTTTTTTTTCTCCCCCTCATCAATCCACAACCCCATAATGATGAAGCAAAAACAGGTTTTTAGAAATTGTAGCAAATGTATTAAAAATAAAAAACGTATTTACATAAGTATTCCGACCCTTTACTCAGTACTTTGTTGAAGCACCTTTGGCAGCGATTACAGCCTCGAGTCTTCTTGGGTATGACTCCACAAGCTTGGCACACCTGTATTTGGGGAGTTTCTCCCATTCTTCTCTGCAGATCCTCTCAAGCTCTGTCAGGTTGGATGGGGAGCATTGCTGCACAGCTATTTTCAGGTCTCTCCAGAGATGTTCGATCGGGTTCAAGTCCGGGCTCTGGCCGGGCCACTCAAGGACATTCAGAGACTTGTCCCGAAGCCACTCCTGCATTGTCTTGGCTGTGTGCATAGGGTCATTGTCCTGTTAGAAGCCTTTGCCCCAGTCTGAGGTCCTGAGCGCTCTGGAGCAGGTTTTCATCAAGAATCTCTCTGGACTTTGCTCCGTTCATCTTTGCCTCAATCCTGACTAGTCTCCCAATCCCTGCTGCTGAAAAACATCCCCAAAGCATGATGCTGCCACCACCATGCTTCACAGTAGGGATGGTGCCAGGTTTTCTCCAGACGTGACGCTTGGCATTCAGGCCAAAGTGTTCAATCTTGGTTTCATCAGACCAGAGAATCTTGTTTCTCATGGTCTGAGAGTCTTTAGGTGCCTTTTGGCAAACTCTAAGCGGGCTGTCATTTGCCTTTTACTGAGGAGTGGCTTCCATCTGGCCACTCTACCGTAAAGGCCTGATTGGTGGAGTGCTGCAGAGATGGTTGTCCTTCTGGAAGGTTCTCCCATCTCCACAGAGGAACTCTGGAGCTCTGTCAGAGTGACCATCGGGTTCTTGGTCACCTCCCTGACCAAGGCCCTTCTCCCCTGATTGCTCAGTTTGGCCGGGTGGCCAGCTCTAGGAAGAGTCTTGGTGGTTCCAAACTTCTTCCATTTAAGAATGATGGAGGCCACTGTGTTCTTGGGGACCTTCAATGCTGCAAAAAAAATGTGGTACCCTTCCCCAGATCTGTGCCTCGACACAATCCTGTCTCGGAGCTCTACGGACAATTCCTTCGACCTCATGGCTTGGTTTTTGTTCTGACATGCACTGTCAACTGTGGGACCTTATATAGACAGGTGTGTGCCTTTCCAAATCATGTACAATCAATTGAATTTACCACAGGTGGACTCCATCACGTTGTAGAAACATCTCAAGGATGATCAATGGAAACAGGATGCACCCGAGCTCAATTTCGAGTCTCATAAGGGTCTGAATACTTATGTAAATAAGGTATTATGTTTTTTTTTTTTTATATACATTTGCAAACGTGGGGAAAAAATGTCACTGTCATTATGGGGTATTGTGTGTAGATTGGTGAGGAAAAAATCTATTTAATCCATTTTAGAATAAGGCTGTAACGTAACAAAATGTGGAAAATGTCAAGGAGTCTGAATACTTTCCAAATGCAGTGTATCTCCTGACCGTGTGTGTGTGTGTGTGTGTGTGTGTGTGTGTGTGTGTGTGTGTGTGTGTGTGTGTGTGTGTGTGTGTGTGTGTGTGTGTGTGAACCTACCTTCCTGACAACGTGGTCCAGCTCTGTCTTGGGGACACAGGCAGCGGTAGCCATTGATCTCATCAATACAGCTAGCACCGGAGAAACAGGGAGAAGACTGGCACTCATTGATATCTAACACACACACACACACACACACACACACACACACACACAGGAGAGAATAAAACAGTGGTGAGGAACAACATAAAGATATTGGCTATACTCTTTTGAAGTTAGATTTGTGGACTGACTTTTCAATCACAGTCTCTCTCTGGAGCACAACCACAGTTAATAACAGACTAGCAGACAGTCTCTAAATCAGCCTGGATCTATTACACCCAGGATCCCCTCTACATTAGACCCATGATCCCCTCTACATTAGACCCAGGATCCCCTCTCCATTACACCCAGGATCCCCTCTACATTAGACCCAGGATCTCCTCTACATTAGACCCAGGATCCCCTCTACATTAGACCCAGGATCATTAGCAGGCATGTAGAGAGCTGAAGGCTAGAGTGTAGAACGGACAGGAGGAATGTAGAAACCATCTGAAAGCCTTTAGGAGGGAAAACAATCTGAGTAATCACTGTCAGAGAGCACCTCTATGTGTGTGTGTGTGTGTGTGGTGTGTGTGTGTGTGTGGTGTGTGCATAATCTTAGTCAGAGAACAAGACCAATTGGTTGATTAGCCGCTGGCCTCGTAAGCCAGTCTGCCCCGAGACTGTCAAGGCAGCGCAGTGTGTGTGTGTGTGTGTGTGTGTGTGTGCGTGTGTGCGTGTGTGCGTGTGTGTGTGTGCGATGCCGGAAATAGCCCAACGCTCAGACTGTCCCCTCACCCCGGGGGATGGGGGAGGCAGGGTGAAGAGGGGGAGGCAGGGTGAAGAGGGGGAGGCAAGGTGAAGAGGGGGAGGCAGGGTGAAGAGGGGGAGGCAGGGTGAAGAGGGGGAGGCAAGGTGGAGGGGGGAGGCAGGGTGAAGAGGGGGAGGCAGGGTGAAGAGGGGGAGGCAAGGTGAAGAGGGGGAGGCAGGGTGAAGAGGGGGAGGCAAGGTGAAGAGGGGGAGGCAAGGTGAAGAGGGGGAGGCAGGGTGGAGGGGGGAGGCAGGGTTGAAGAGGGGGAGGCAGGGTGAAGAGGGGGAGGCAGGGTGAAGAGGGGGAGGCAGGGTGAAGAGGGGGAGGCAGGGTGAAGAAGGGGGGAGGCAGGGTGAAGAGGGGGAGGCAGGGTGAAGAAGGGGGGAGGCAGGGTGAAGAGGGGGGAGAGGGGGAGAGAGGATGGGTGAGGCAGGGTGAAGGGGGAGAGGGAGGATGGGTGAGGCAGGGTGAAGAGGGTGAGGGAGGATGGGTGAGGCAGGTTGAAGAGGGGGAGGGAGGATGGGTGAGGCAGGTTGAAGAGGGTGAGGGAGGATGGGTGAGGCAGGTTGAAGAGGGTGAGGGAGAATGGGTGAGGCGACAGGGGAGTTGGTGTTAATACTCACTGATTCTGCAGTCTGGCCCAGCGAAGCCTGGAGCGCATTCACATCGATACCAGTTATCACCATCCACACACGTCCCACTGTTATAACTGGAGAGGAGGAGGAGGAGGAGGAGGAGGAGAGGTATGGGGAAAGGTGAGAGAGAAAGAGGAGACAGACAGAGAGGTCAGTTTCAGTTCAACATGAAAACATCTAAGTCAGTCTACCCAGAGTCTCTGTCTGCATCCCAGAGTCTCTGTCAGTCTACCCAGAGTCTCTGTCAGTCTACCCAGAGTCTCTGTCAGTCTACCCAGAGTCTCTGTCAGTCTACCCAGAGTCTCTGTCAGTCTACCCAGAGTCTCTGTCAGTCTACCCAGAGTCTCTGTCAGTCTACCCAGAGTCTCTGTCAGTCTACCCAGAGTCTCTGTCAGTCTACCCAGAGTCTCTGTCAGTCTACCCAGATTGCACCCTATTCCCTACACAGAGTCCTGTGGGTCCTGGTCAGAGTCCCGTGGGTCCTGGTCAGAGTCCTGTGGGTCCTGGTCAGAGTCCTGTGGGTCCTGGTCAGAGTCCTGGTCAGAGTCCTGTGGGTCCTGGTCAGAGTCCCGTGGGTCCTGGTCAGAGTCCTGTGGGTCCTGGTCAGAGTCCCGTGGGTCCTGGTCAGAGTCCCGTGGGTCCTGGTCAGAGTCCCGTGGGTCCTGGTCAGAGTCCTGTGGGTCCTGGTCAGAGTCCCGTGGGTCCTGGTCAGAGTCCCGTGGGTCCTGGTCAGAGTCCCGTGGGTCCTGGTCAGAGTCCTGTGGGTCCTGGTCAGAGTCCCGTGGGTCCTGGTCAGAGTCCCGTGGGTCCTGGTCAGAGTCCCGTGGGTCCTGGTCAGAGTCCTGGTCAGAGTCCTGTGGGTCCTGGTCAGAGTCCCGTGGGTCCTGGTCAGAGCCCTGTGGGTCCTGGTCAGAGTCCCGTGGGTCCTGGTCAGAGCCCTGTGGGTCCTGGTCAGAGTCCCGTGGGTCCTGGTCAGAGTCCCGTGGGTCCTGGTCAGAGTCCTGGTCAGAGTCCTGGTCAGGGTCCCGTGGGTCCTGGTCAGAGTCCCGTGGGTCCTGGTCAGAGTCCTGGTCAGAGTCCTGTGGGTCCTGGTCAGAGCCCCGTGGGTCCTGGTCAGAGCCCCGTGGGTCCTGGTCAGAGCCCCGTGGGTCCTGGTCAGAGTCCTGGTCAGAGTCCCGTGGGTCCTGGTCAGAGCCCCGTGGGTCCTGGTCAGAGTCCCGTGGGTCCTGGTCAGAGCCCCGTGGGTCCTGGTCAGAGTCCCGTGGGTCCTGGTCAGAGCCCCGTGGGTCCTGGTCAGAGCCCCGTGGGTCCTGGTCAGAGCCCCGTGGGTCCTGGTCAGAGCCCTGTGGGTCCTGGTCAGAGCCCCGTGGGTCCTGGTCAGAGCCCCGTGGGTCCTGGTCAGAGTCCCGTGGGTCCTGGTCAGAGTCCCGTGGGTCCTGGTCAGAGCCCCGTGGGTCCTGGTCAGAGTCCCGTGGGTCCTGGTCAGAGTCCCGTGGGTCCTGGTCAGAGTCCCGTGGGTCCTGGTCAGAGTCCCGTGGGTCCTGGTCAGAGTCCCGTCCTGACTGTGGGTCCTGGTCAGAGCCCTGTGAGTCCTGGTCAGAGTCCCGTGGGTCCTGGTCAGAGCCCTGTGGGTCCTGGTCAGAGCCCCGTGGGTCCTGGTCAGAGTCCTGGTCAGAGTCCCGTGGGTCCTGGTCAGAGCCCCGTGGGTCCTGGTCAGAGTCCCGTGGGTCCTGGTCAGAGCCCTGTGGGTCCTGGTCAGAGTCCCGTGGGTCCTGGTCAGAGCCCTGTGGGTCCTGGTCAGAGTCCTGGTCAGAGTCCTGTGGGTCCTGGTCAGAGCCCCGTGGGTCCTGGTCAGAGCCCCGTGGGTCCTGGTCAGAGCCCCGTGGGTCCTGGTCAGAGCCCCGTGGGTCCTGGTCAGAGTCCTGGTCAGAGTCCCGTGGGTCCTGGTCAGAGCCCCGTGGGTCCTGGTCAGAGCCCCGTGGGGTCCTGGTCAGAGCCCGGGTCTGGTCAGATGTCCTGGTCAGAGTCCCGTGGGTCCTGGTCAGAGCCCGGGGGTCCTGGTCAGAGTCCTGGTCAGAGTCCCGTGGGTCCTGGTCAGAGCCCCGTGGGTCCTGGTCAGAGCCCCCGTGGGTCCTGGTCAGAGCCCCGTGGGTCCTGGTCAGAGCCACGTGGGTCCTGGTCAGAGTCCCGTGGGTCCTGGTCAGAGTCCCGTGGGTCCTGGTCAGAGCCCCGTGGGTCACTGGTCAGAGCCCCGTGGGTCCTGGTCAGAGTCCCGTGGGTCCTGGTCAGAGCCCCGTGGGTCCTGGTCAGAGCCCCGTGGGTCCTGGTCAGAGCCCCGTGGGTCCTGGTCAGAGCCCGTGGGTCCTGGTCAGAGCCCCGTGGGTCCTGGTCAGAGACCCGTGGGTCCTGGTCAGAGCCCCGTGGGTCCTGGTCAGAGTCCCCGTGGGTCCTGGTCAGAGTCCCGTGGGTCCTGGTCAGAGTCCCGTGGGTCCTGGTCAGAGTCCCGTGGGTCCTGGTCAGAGCCCGTGGGTCCTGGTCAGAGCCCCGTGGGTCCTGGTCAGAGCCCCGTGGGTCCTGGTCAGAGCCCCGTGGGTCCTGGTCAGAGCCCCGTGGGTCCTGGTCAGAGCCCCGTGGGTCCTGGTCAGAGCCCCGTGGGTCCTGGTCAGAGCCCCGTGGGTCCTGGTCAGAGCCCCGTGGGTCCTGGTCAGAGCCCCGTGGGTCCTGGTCAGAGCCCGTGGGTCCTGGTCAGAGCCCCGTGGGTCCTGGTCAGAGCCCCGTGGGTCCTGGTCAGAGCCCCGTGGGTCCTGGTCAGAGCCCCGTGGGTCCTGGTCAGAGCCCCGTGGGTCCTGGTCAGAGCCCCGTGGGTCCTGGTCAGAGCCCCGTGGGTCCTGGTCAGAGTCCCGTGGGTCCTGGTCAGAATCCCGTGGGTCCTGGTCAGAGTCCCGTGGGTCCTGGTCAGAGTCCCGTGGGTCCTGGTCAGAGTCCTGTGGGTCCTGGTCAGAGTCCTGTGGGTCCTGGTCAGAGCCCTGTGGGTCCTGGTCAGAGCCCTGTGGGTCCTGGTCAGAGCCCCGTGGGTCCTGGTCAGAGTCCTGTGGGTCCTGGTCAGAGTCCCGTGGGTCCTGGTCAGAGTCCTGTGGGTCCTGGTCAGAGCACTATACGGAATAAGGTGCCATTTGGGACGCCCCTCTCTAAAGAGTTCTGGTGTCCTTTTAATGACCAGATGAGTATTTCTGTGATTCTCAGTGAGCTCCATCTACGTGGTTACACACACACACACTTGATCGGACGGAGCACTGAGTGAACAACAAGCTGTAGGTTAGGCTGAACGCACCCTAGGAATGACCAGGACAGAGACAGAGAGACAGAGACAGAGAGACAGAGAGACAGAGAGACAGAGAGACAGAGAGACAGAGAGACAGAGAGACAGAGAGACAGAGAGAGAGAGAGAGAGAGAGAGAGAGAGAGACAGAGAGAGAGAGAGAGCCTACAGGTGAAAAACTAAGCAACTACAGTACACACTGCAGAACAAACCTGGGTTCAAATACTATTCAACATTATTTCAAATACTTTAGCTGGGCTTGAATGAG